TATGTCCCAAAGGCTCAGACCTCCTATGGCTTTTCCACCCTGATGGAGTCTCCTCATACCCGACGCAAGGAGAGCCTTTTCCACAGCGACCCCAGCAGCCCTCTCACCTCCCCAAACTCCCAGAGGCGCTCCCAAGGGGGAACCCTACTGGCCCCGGCTGACCCCAACCCCTACCGCTATTTCAGCGGTGGTGAGAGTGACACCTGCTCCTCAGCCGAGTCATCTCCCTTTAACTCACCTCTCCTTTCCCGATCTGCCTCTCTCCTGCGCTCTATTACACAGGAGACACAAGCCAAGGTGAGGACTTGTGCTCTATATGCTCATGTATGGCCACGATGTATAATTCAAAATCATCAGTGAGTGTGTAACAGTTTTTTCCTCCTAGTTTGATTCAGCTAGTGGCTTATTTCTGTATGTTTACAGTTGCTTTTCCTCTCTCCCCCAAGGTGTCTCGTGCCAAACGCTCCCTGGCACGCCACAGTTCCCTCTCCACTGATGAATGCAGCTCAGCAGACAACAGCCCCAACATGCAGCGCCGCCGAATGCGCTGCCCTCCCTCTCCCGCCTTCCGTGGATGTAAAAGCGGTGGCTTGAGGGGAGCAGCGGCATCGGACCTCTGTCAGCGCGAGCACACTATAAACCTCAATAAGGGGGGGAAACTGAGGCTGAGCACTCACTATGACAGGGAGGCAGCCCGGCTGAGGGTGCGCGTGCTCGCAGCCGAGGCCCTTTACGACAGGCAGACAGACCTTAAAAGCATCAACTGCTGCGTAGCACTTTACCTGAATCCTGGTAAGAAGCAGAAACAAAGGAGCACCATCATTAAGAACAGCAGGAATCCGGTGTTCAATGAAGACTTTTTTTTTGATGCTCTGCCTCAGGCACAGGTAAAGACTCTGGCCTTGAAAGTAAAGGTAGTGAACAAAGGAACCAGCCTGAAGAGAGATGTGCTTCTTGGAGAAAGAGAAGTGCTGCTCAGTGAGCTGCTCGCAGGCCTCTAGGGAGCCCCTGTCAAGACTCTGGCGGACACGAGCTGGTCCACACCTTGAGGGCCCCCAGTCTTTTTATCCCACCTCACCCTTCTGACAAATACTGGACAGGAGCAAGCACACAGATGACAAGGAAGATGTTTCTTCCACACTGGGTTATATATGCGCACAGAAAAAAATGAAGGTCTCTGTTAAAGTCTCGCTTTGCCAATTCTTCAAATTCAAAATTAGGGGCAGCCCACAATAACCTATAGGCTTATCAGTGAAGTGACTATGTGAACAGTGGGGCTGTGATCCTCGTTTGTGCGTATTTCTCTTTGAGTATTGAGTTACAAACAGTTTTACTCTCACCGATGAGCGTTGTATTGTGGCTCAGTGTCATATCAGTTGGTATGCAATCTTGTTTAAGTTGGAGCTGCTTATTGTTTCGTAATGAATGCAGTGATATTATCTGTAAGCATTTGCACGTCACTGTGGAAATTAATAATGGCTCTGTGTGCTTGAGAGAATTTCTATATAGGGAAGATATTCGATTTTAATTGCTAGTAAATGTAATGTTGATATGACTGTTGTTTTGTGATATGCTTTTGAACTCACGAATAAAAACCATGCTAGGGCTTTTGTCTCGCCTTGCACTTTTTGTCTGTGGTTTTTGTCTTTTAATTAATCCCCAGGATCACATGAAATCCCCAGAAATGATAATAAACCTCTCATTTTCTCACTCGAGTTTTAAATTATTGCAAACAACCCTCAGGTGGGGTCCTCTGAGCCAGGCACAAGCTGGGTGTCATTTGTGAGCCTTTTGATTCCAAATACCCCCCCAACCCCAATATTGTTTCTGTGTGCATTCAAAATCCCTGTTTAATTTTAAAAGCATGTTTCCTATTCAGTCCTCCAGTGAGTTTCAAATAGTTATTAAGAAGGCTGGTGTTAATCACAGTTACTGGCACACACTGTCTTTCTCTGGAAATAATCCGTCTGCACAGGGAGGTTAGGTCTCGATTTATGAGTTCAACATTTGGATTGACAAGTGGAAATGTATTCGTGCTACCATAGGATAATAAAAAAAAAAATGCAGAAGACACACTGCAATCCACACTTGTACATTTGGCAGACATACATGGCAGAAGTCCCACTACTAAAAAAGAAAAAGAAAAAATATTAAACGTGGACTTTTGCCTCCTCTGCTGGTGCAACAGCAGAATGACATGCAAGTGAGCTAAATCATCAAAACGTCACTTCATTTTTATAAAATAAGTGCTGAGACAGCCTTTGTTTCAATCACCACCTGCCCCCCGATATATCAGGCAGACAGTTTGGTGACCCAGAGCAGAAAATAATCCAGGATTTCATTAAAAATGTAAAAACTTGGGAGACGACGCTCAACTTTGTGCACAAGAGTGATGACCCCTATTTCTTCACTGATATAAGCCTGTAGGAAACATTCATCTGTAAGCTAAAAGGAGATGCATTTCCTACAAACTCAAGAGCAGAGCGATAAAACTGAAAGAAAATTAAGTGTGTTAGCTGCCGTAGTGGTAATACTCAAGAAGGGAAATTATGAAACTTGAACCATCTAATAACCTAACTGGAAAAAAAAATCCAGAGCTCAACAACAGCCTACACAATCAAATGAAGATGAAGAGTTTTTTTGTTTTTAACTTGAGGTAATCAAAAGCAGAAATTAAAAGTCCTGATTGTTTCTGTGAGTGCAGTTGTTGGTTTGAGGTTTGCGGGTCTTGCTGGAAAATCTTCTCACACATGCATAAAGACATTTCCACACGGCAACCAGGGTCCATCAAAAATCTCCTTATTCCTTAACAGACTGTTTGCAGCACAGTTAGATGGTTTTAAAAAAATATTCAGCTCTGACGACTTAAAAAACAAAGAAACACTTATGTAAGCATAAAAGCTTTAATTAATTTGACCAAATAATGTCTTTCCCCCCCCAAAATGTTACTTTTATGATTTCATGAGACAGACTGGAAATGATATTTTTAAGAGGCTTTAAAAGAGAAGCACAGTGGAAGCTTTTATTTGCATTCAGACTGTGTTTCCTCTTCATGTTTTACTGTATGCAAGGACTGAAAATGACTGCCGTGTAGCAGCATTTATCCTCTGAACTCATTTAATGTTTTAACCATCAGCTATAGCAACTCTCCATGCCACAGTGTATTTATACATATGTTATATGTTTCCAGTTTCCACTTTACAAATAAGATACAGTCATATGAAGCACGTAGGCTACAGATTTTGGCACTGAACATTTAAGTCAATATTCTGGCCCCTGGCGTTGAGTAGGAGGACAGAGTGATGTGACCTAACAACTGTTGGGATCAGTGGTGTAGGTTTCCAGCTCCTTACTGTTTTCATTTGGATTTTTTTTTTAACTAAAAATGAATCTCATCCCTGCTGTCAAATTTAAAACTGTGTTATCCCCATAACATTAACCTAAGTAATAATCTTCCAAAATAATATATAGTCATAGTTAATGGCAAGTAGGGGATGATGGTGACTGTTTGCTCACAGTGCAGGAGGCCTCGCTGACTGTGAGATAGGATTCTGTCATTTGATTATTCGGTGATAATCATTAGATTTAGAATATTATGCTATTTAATTCAGACTGACTGAAACTCCTGATTTGAATTAAGAGCTGGTAGGATTCCTGCACATTCAAAATGTGCATGCAGACAGTCACAGTTTGGCACAACGCAGCTGTCTAAAGGAGGAGAATCCAACATTTCAGCTGCCTGCAACAGGAGTTTTTTTGTTTATCTGTTTTGTTTATTTTTATTGTTATTTATTTATTTTTCATCGTTTTTTCTCAAAACTGACCTAAGATACATATCTTAAGGGATGAACTAGAGAACAAAGTTTAAATGGTCTCTTTTGGTGCTTTGTTGCTCTCAGACTGTCACAAAAACAACAACTACTTTGACTGACTCTATGAAGAAGATCCCACAGAGGTAACAAGGTGAGCCCCAGGGAACTTTCAGGCACAAATGTGACATCTGGGCAGGATGTGCAGGGTGTCCTTAAAATGTTTGAGGAAACCAGACCAAGTGGAGGACAAAAGAACTATTTACAGGAAATGAACAGTATCTGAAAAAATCCAGCAATGGCCTGACACAGAACCTGAGAGATGCGTCTGATCCTTTGGTTCATCCATCTGCTGTTCAATGACACATCATCACAAGGACTCAGTGGTTGGCTGTCAAGAAGCCATTCTTAAGGAAGGGAAACAGGGGGAAATGGCTGACGTACGCCAGAACGCACCTGGACTGAAAATCAGTGGCAACAGGTCTGATGGAGTGATGAATGCATATTTGCATCCAAATTTCCCTTCTTTATTTTATTTTTTGTTCAAATCATCATTAATATGTATGAAGAAGACATCAATAAAACATGGAGAACGATTTTCATCCACCATATGGAAAGAAACTGATTGGTGCCAATTTTATTTTTTAGCGTGACAATGAACCAAAACATCCGGATAAGAGCTTTGATTGTCCTATTCCTGAATACTACTTAAAGAAATTGAAAGAAAGCTCAATTAAGGCTGAGTTGAAAAGCAAAACAAATATTGATTCTGTTCGAAGTTTTGTTTGTTTTTGTATATATACTTTTTCCTCGCAAAATATAAAGAAATGAAGGGCGGCTCGAGGCTTCTGCACAGTACTGTATAATAACGGTGTACAGTTTTGTGAGACTAAACTATATATCAAACACAGCATATGTTCCACCAGCGGGTGGATTACACCGACTTTTATTATAAGTAGCCACTACCGTTTTAATTACAACTCTTTTCGGGTATACTTGCTTTGTAAGCGCGGAATCAGCTGGAAACACTGCGCTTTGTTGGTGCGATCACCACAACAAACGAACCCATCAGCTGGCAGCTCTTTAACTGACACTCATCACGGGAAATGTAGTTTATCTTCCACGAAACGCCTCCTGCTCTTGAGAACTGGAAATTCCCCCAACACTACATCACCCACAATGCCTCACCGTCATCGTAAACATAGACCTGTCAAACAACATAGACGCCATCTTGACAGCACCCTCAAAATGGCAGAAAGATGTGAGCTAGAAACCGAGTCCAAACTAAGATCTCAGCGCTCTGCTATTTAAAACCAGTCGGCGCCGTTTTTCCCCAACCGCGGGTGGTTATGGAGTTGGAGCCCAGCGAGGCAGCACAGAGCCTGTAACATGGATATATCGACGGCGGTTTTCAACGCGGCCAGAGATGGTAAGCTGAAACTTATCCAGAAGTTGCTGAGCAACAAAAGTCCAGAGGAGCTGGAGGCTTTGGCTGAGGAGAAAACACAGGGGGGAACCCCTTTGCTGATAGCCTCTCGATACGGACATTTAGAGGTGGTGGACTACCTCCTTGAACATTGTAAAGCGAATGTTGAACTCGGGGGTTCGGTGAACTTTGACGGCGAGACCATCGAGGGGGCTCCGCCGCTCTGGGCGGCTTCGGCAGCCGGTCACCTCCTTGTGGTGAAGACGCTACTGAAACACGGTGCCTCAGTAAACAATGCAACACTAACTAACTCAACGCCGCTCCGAGCTGCCTGCTTCGACGGTCACCTGGAGATCGTCCGCTACCTGGTGGAGCACAGAGCCGACATGGAGGTCGCCAACCGCCACGGCCACACCTGCCTCATGATCTCCTGCTATAAGGGCCACAAGGAGATAGCCAAGTTCCTCCTGGATCGCGGTGCGGATGTTAACCGCAAGAGTGTGAAAGGAAACACTGCCCTACACGACTGTGCCGAGTCAGGTAGTCTGGACATCATGAAGATGCTGCTGAAGTGCAGTGCCCGCATGGAGAGAGACGGATACGGGATGACCCCGCTCCTGGCCGCAAGCGTGACGGGTCACACCAACATAGTGGAGTACCTCGCCCACCAGCCTCGTACCTCCAGAGAGGAGCGCATTGATGCACTTGAACTCCTAGGGGCTACTTTTGTGGACAAAAAGCGTGATCTGTTGGGCGCCATGAGGTACTGGAGGAGGGCGATGGAGCTGAGGCAGCCAGGGGAAAAGACCGGTTCTCTTGCCAAGCCCCCACCCGGTCCCCCGATCCCCGCCTATGGCTGCGCACAGGAGGTGTGCACTGCAGAGGAACTCGAGGCTTTGATCACCGACCCGGACGAAATGAGGATGCAGGCCCTGTTGATTCGCGAGCGCATCCTGGGCCCGTCCCACCCAGACACGTCTTATTACATCCGCTATAGGGGAGCTGTGTACGCTGACTCGGGCAACTTTGAGCGCTGCATAAGTCTGTGGAAGTACGCTTTAGACATGCAGCAAAGCAACCTGGACCCTCTCAGTCCCATGACAGCCTCAAGTTTCCTGTCTTTTGCAGAGCTCTTCTCGTTTGTTCTTCAAGACCGGGCAAAAGGCTCGCTGTCAACACGCATCACCTTCCATGATCTCATGACTGTGTTGGGCAAAAGCGTGAGGGAGGTAGAGAGAGCTGTGGCACAGAGGGATAATCCCCCAGAAGCTCCTCAGTTCACCAAAGCCCTCTCCATCATCCTCCACCTCATCTTTCTACTGGAGAAGCTCGAGTGCAGCCCGGAGCAGGAGCACCAGAAGAAGCACACGGTGTACCGACTTCTAAAGCTGAACCCCCGAGGGCGGAGCGGCTTCACCCCCCTGCACATGGCCGTAGACAAGGAAACGACATCTGTCGGCCGCTACCCGGTAGGCCGCTTCCCCTCCCAGGCGGTGGCTGCACTGCTCCTAGAGTGCGGCGCGGACGTTGATTCGCGGGACTGTGAGAACAACACACCGCTGCACATTGCTGCTAACAACGGTTGTCCGGAGATTATAGCGCTCCTCATGAAGGCTGGAGCTCACTTTGATGCCACAAATGCACAGAGGAAGACGGCCTACGAGCTGTTGGATGAGCACAGCAGCGGGCACCCGGCCCTCTACCCGCTAAACTACGTCACCCTTCAGTGCCTGGCAGCACGTGCAATCGAAAAGCACAGACTGCCCTACAGGGGACTCATCTCTGAAGAGATGGAGGCTTTCATTGAGCTGCACTGACTTCCACTTCTGCATCAACCGCCCCCTTCTAATGAAGAGGCATCCCAGCAACTACTCTTCCCGTTCTCGCCTATTCTTTACTGTGACCTGACACAAACTATTCTTTTGGGGGTTTTTTTGCTCGACACAAGTCTCCTCTTGACTTCTGCTCCACTGCTGACTGTAACCAACGTTTTTATCAGACCAAACCAATAGCAATAAACATCCAACCTCTGGGCTTAAGTGTCTGCCAGAGGTCTGGTCAGTTGTTGCTTTATTCTAACACAGACTTTTAAGGTGATTGTTGGTTTCCACTGCTACTTAATGCCGGGTGAAACGTTAACATCAGACTCTATTGCATCTCCTCTCAGTGTCTCCCTCTAAAACAAACAAGCAAAAAGGGAGCGGTACAAGCTGATGGGGGTTTGTGTGGGTTTGCTAGTGGCTGAAGTGTATGAGAAATGGGCTCGTTTTTACTGACACAAAGCATCTGATCAAAGTAGCCAGATAACATGCATGAAAATGAAGTGTGACTGTGGTAGCTCACTTGTTGTTTAGCAGATTCATTCAGAAAGGAAATATTTGAACAAACTCAACGAGTCGCTGGCATTTTTTTTTTCTTTTCTTTGTGCCTGGTTCTACTTGTTCGCATTCGGTGTACCATCTGTTATGTTTCTCTGACGCTGGGAAGGTGTTGAAAGTACTGTGCCAAATGTTCCGTTACAAACTGTAAACCGGTGGCAAAATGGCAAAAGCAATGAATGTTTTCTTCCTGATTACAAGCAAAAGTAATAATATGAAGTTACAGACATGAACCTCTGAGCTTGAGGAGAACATTGACTGGACTGTGACAGTATTTTGTCAGCCTGCTGCACCGTCTGACTTAGTTAAAAAAAAAAAAAGAGACAGGTGCCATTATTTAACACTCCCCAGTCTCCAAACAAGATAACCTATGCAGTTGTTAATATTATTCCAAAAATTGTGAAGCTAAAAGTCGCTGCATGAACACGATTTACATGTTGTTTTTGTTTTTTTGGGGGTTTTTCCCCCCTCTGTTGTACATGTTCATCCTAATATGATGAGTTAAATGATTGGGGCTGCTTCTTTAACAATAATTTGGTATCTTCTGAATATTTAAATCTAAGAATGTTTTCTTAATTTCTACTTATGTCTGAATGAACAGTTTCTAACAGAGCCTGACGCGTACCTGCGTGCCTCCTCCCAGGATTATGAAATCCACAAGAAAGACATCCAAGTTAACGCAAAAGAAGCAGCCTCATGACGTTTGCGGGGACAACGACGGACCTTTGAACGCGCTCTCGTCGCTATAAAAAAGGCACAAATCAACTGTCGAGGATCATGTGTTGGTTTTTGCCTTGCAGTGAATTTTCCCTTTAACGTCAGATGCAGTTCACAGAAAACAAAAAGGAACAGATGGCTCTTTGGCCATTCCTGCATCTCAGTCTTATATTTAGTTGTTTTTCTTGTGTTTTCAGCAATATTTTATTTGTCAGTCTGTGTTAAGCACCACTAAAAAGTTGAAATACACACTGAAGAGGCTCTGGAAGATCCTAAACACCTTACATTCAGGCTCTAAACTGTCGCTGCCTTTGTCTTTCCCAGCAGATTTGCGATAACTCAAGATTAAAAGTGTGTTGGAGATGCCTGAATAAAATTCAGTGTCACAACAGAATCCCTGTATGTCGGCTCAGCGTTCCTGTGGCTCTTGTCTGTGTGCAAAAATGTGAATGAGAGTTGTTCTTGACTTAGGCTGGAAAGCTGGAAATGAATCCCAGTTTTCGATGTCTTGATTTTAATTATTCAGTCTGAGCGCTGTTGCTCACATGGCAGCAGCGTTTGCATTGTGATAGCAGCAGGACATAACAGCCTTACCATGCCATTGTGACAGCCAGGTCCATGAAATGATCTAATTTGGACACTGGAAGTGACATTATCTTGGAGTGCACACATATCAAAAACAAAATCTGCGAGCTCTCATTACGCAGGCTTTCCACAGCTCACATAAACTCCAACACCCTGAAATAAAGCATAACAGAAACTTGATCTTTCAGAGTCCTGCACTCTTAAAATATAAATAGAGTGCAATTAACGTCACTGCTGCAGGGTAGTGCTAGAGACAGGCCACTTACCCTGCTAATTTTAGGGATCTTTTGCCCTAGCTTCCACTCTGAAAATGGGAATACTGTAATGCTATACAGTCAGACAGGCAGGTCACAGGGTGACTGGCAGAGACGGCGCACGGACAACAGAGACGGCATTATTCTTATAGTAACAGACACAATATTAGCTATCCATCGATAAAAGCTTAACCTAACTACGTTAAATCGGGCAGTGTGGTGGCAGCTAGTCGAGAAACACCAGGTGGTAAATGTAGCGTCCACCCTGCATAACAGTCATGAAATAAGAAACTGTGAACACTGACGTAATCCACATGGTCTCCCATGGCTGACCTGACCCCTCTGTTAAAGGGAAAAATGGTCATTAACTTATTGTGTTAGATAATAACTGTGGAAGTAGCCCTTCTTCATATAAGATATTTACAAGTGGTAATATTGGGATAAATAGAAGAAGAAAGTGTATTTTTGGTACTTAAAGGCAAAAAAAAAGGAAATCCCAAAGCTCGGCTTCCTTTTAGGAACTTATCTTCTGCAAACTGAAGAGACTTGGCATAGAAATACTGACATACCTAAACCTGGAGTCATGAATTTTCTTTGTTCATATTTCCATCCTCAAGTAAATGTAACATCATATAATAGTAACTTCCCACTAGATGTCACTAGCAACAAAGAAAATCAATCAGACAAGAAGTCTTTTGTTCCTTTAAGATCATGTGAAATGCTCAGAAATGTAGCTCTCAGGCAGAAATGGTGGTGGTGGGTTGATTTTCTTTTTCTTTGTGTCTCTTTCAGCAGAGAGTCTGACTCTGACAAAGAAGTCTTTGTACCGATAGAGAAACAGAATGAGCTGTTGAGGATGGCATTTATTTGAAAAAGAGAAAAGAAAATGTAAGCACTAAATGTGCATTTTTAGGTAAAGAGGAAAAGAAATCTTGGTAGATGGGAGGCGCTGAGTCTTTTTGCAGGGTTTTCTATGGGGGTCAGCAGAAAGGTTAATATAAAACCTCCTTCGTGACATCCTCAGGTGCCATGCCAACGTCCAGCACCACACTCCAACACCTCACGATCTGCCCTTGTGGCTGTTGCTTTTGTCATGCTGCGTGACCCAAATAGCACCAGATCATTAAACTAGATATAACAAAGTCCTATGTTGAACTATTTCAATTTGCTTCAGGTTAAAGAATAGTGCTTTGTTGCCCTGTTTTTCTTTTTCTTTTTTTTATTGATATTTTAAATCAAATTTGTGGGCAACGCCAGAAACGAAGATAAGCTAATACACCAAATTGGTTACATTACACACACACATTGTTTAACTGCAGGCATTTATCCTGATAATTATATTTCATTTGATTCATTTCTTACATTAACCTGTTCGGCAGTCACTTCCATATATTTTTACCGACCCTTTGCTACTGTGATATTGATTAAATCCCCTGAAAACCATTTTTGATATATATGTACTGTAGATTAAGAAAACCAATGATAAAAGTGCACACATTTGACCCCACTGATATAAATGATCAATGAATCCACCTTTGTTAATATAACAGGACTGAATAAATTATAAGGAACAGCTCATTTATAATAGACTACTGCTAACTCCAGCCTAAAATAGCCAAGAATATCAGTACTGGTATATATGATGTATACGTATGCATCAAGAGATAAACATCAGCCGCTGCTACCAGAACACTCCTTCTCATTAATATTGGTTGATACTGATGCTCAGCCAGTGATGTAACCCTAAAGTAAAGGTAAAACTAAATCAGCAGCTTAAATGAAAGCTGACCATAACCTTGATGAACGTGGATTTGTTGCACTGTTGTTGGCTTTAATAGTTGTTCATTTTAGGCAAGTGAACCTATAAACTTGCTACTGAGTCTGTCTCCAGAACAATAAATAATACTTTTAAACTCCTTCCATCTGTTGTCCTCAGATGCTACTGCGTTATTTACCTCCTGTGGAATTATTAATGCATTTCCATAACATCTCACCAGGACTTGTATTTCCCTACAATATTTTAGAGTCCAGCTGTAATTTAGTGTGGGAGTTCTGCTCAGTGGGAGCCGTTATGAGCCTCTCACTCTTTATTCCTGCCAGCAGCTATAATTAGATGCTATGTTATGGGAATCTAAGAGGTCTAGGGTGCTTCTCTTCATTTTAGCTCCTTGGGGAGCAAAGTGGGGGCAAATAAATAAATAAATAAATAAATAAATAAATAAATAAATCAGTCACTAATACACAAGACCAACCTGCCACAGCTGCTGCCTCTTTTGCACCAGTCAGCGATACCAGAGAGAGCTGGAGGAGGTGGGGGTTGAAGTGGGGAAGTAATGGGGGTAATAGAGGTGATGGGGGATACGGTTGCTATTGGAGATCTTGCCTGCATCACGTCATGTGTAAGAGGGAGGGGTGGGGGGAGTGCTCCGGTGTGTGCATGAAAGAGAGAGAGAGAGAGAGAGAGAGAGAGAGAGAGAGAGAGCTGGGAGGGGTAGGCGAGGAGAGGGAAGGAGGAGGGCATTAAGGAAGAAGGCAGGGAGTATCAATGACATCAACCAGCAGTATCTGAGGCCGCCCGATCAGCAATGCTCTCCCGACAAAAGGGCTGAGGAGCAGCCGTGACCCGCTGCGCTCCGAGAGGTCGGTGGACAGCCAGGACGGTGTGTGTGGGGGGGAAACGCCGGCGATGTGTGCATGCACCCTCCACAAAGGAAGACCTTCATCTGAGTGGAGCTGCCACTGGATTACATTTATCCTTGCTGTTTCTAAGGAAGCTTCCAGCTGCAAATCCACCCACATGAATCTACCAGACAGTAAGGAAGACGGAGCACTTCCTACCGAGGTAACCCGCACCATCCATTTATACATATGTATATTTATTTTAACAGTTAATGTTTGCAGTCGTGCACCCCACCCAGGCTGGTTACATTTTTACTTGTCGAATAGCCTTTTGGAAACTAAAGCGGTAAGAGTAGATCCCAGCCCGGATGGAATTTCACCGCTCAGTCTTTCCCGGGGTGTTTCTTTGTGGTGTTTCTCTTTTACTCAGCAGCTGCAGCATCACTTCAGATTTTGTTTCAAGCGTTTGGGTAAAAAAAAAAAAAAAAAAAAAAAAAAAAAAAAACACACAAAAAAACGAGGTTGTGCAGATCAGGCTGGTTGGCAACAACGCTGTGAGTGCGCGTCCCTCTTCATCACCCCCTCCTCCTTATTGTTGGCTGGGCAGCATGAGGGACCCGGGCAGACTGGCAAAGCCTTTGTTCCTCATCAACTGTCATTAAAAGTGGCTTTTATTTTGATGGCCCTTTAAAGCGCTCTCCAGGCGCGACGAGTCTATGTTGAGTCCGGTTTTTTTTAAAGACTATTAAAAAAAGAAGAAGAAAAGAAAAGAAAAAGAAAGAAAAATATAAACAGTAGACTCAGACAAGAAAGAGCTCATCTTTATGATCAAATCTATGTAACACAGGCATCTTGTATATCTGCCAAGGATATTTTTTAAAAGAAAGAAAAAAGGAAGAAAACTCTTAGTTCTGTTTCTATTGTGTCTAAATTTCACTGATGCCACGCCAAAGTAAATATAACACTATGATAATGTCATTATGTCAGCATACTCAAAGGGGCCCTCGCAGACACATTATGAATCCATACAGGCTATTATACCAATATTTGTGAATCATTTATGGTATGGAAGGCACCAGGTGGCAAAGCGGATGGACTTATTTAGCAGGACTGGTTCCTAGACAATAGAGT